AACAGAGCTGCTCTTCTTTCTGTCCTAGCACGAGGAGCAACCCTCATGAGTACTAGCGTATTTGGCTCTACGTGGGCCCCCTCATGTTTCACCAGGCCAGACCAATATTTACCACCTTAGTAAAAGGGCCCTGCACCTTGCGAGGAGTCTGAATTTGGACTCCACACCCACTTGTGGTACAGGTCTCGGGTCTAAATTCCTCTGGGTTGCTTTTCACCTATGATTTTAGGTGGATGGACGGCAAGCTTCTTTGCTGTTTCCCCAGTCAGTTTCACAGAAGGAGCAGCCCTTGAGATTACCGGTGTTTTGCAAGATGGTTAACTTGAGCTCCTTACAAGTATACGACCTGAGGCTTGCGTTTAAAAAAAATGACTAAAGACAATGTAGGTGATACGAACTTTAACACCAAGAAATGAACAGTCTCCATTTGGAGAACTGTAAAATGGGGCAGAAGGCAGGAAGTTTTAATAGGATAAAGAACAAAGAACAAGGAAAAGAAAAACAGAAAATACCTAAGTAGCTGAGGTCACACAATCAAACTTGCTTGGGGTGAGAAGGAACAAGGAAATAAATATAGAGCCCAGAGTTGGCTTGGCGTTTGGGGATTGGCTGGCTGGATATCCAGTACTGCATTTCTGATCAAGCAGAGCATTTACAGGGACATAAAAGTTACCTAAATTTGGGTTTGTTGACATAGCACCCAAGGCAGGAGCGGCTCCATCTTGGGCCTAGAAATTTATTCCAACACTTGTAATATTTTCACTCTACCACAGTCAGAATCCCAGGACCCAACAGTTAAGGCCTATAAACTCTCTAGCTCTTTCAGTTCTGACTCTTGTTCATTATTCTGACTTTGAGTTTATTCTTCATTTCTGGCACCCGGGGATTTCATTCTCTTAGTTTCAAGCTTTTTTCTTACATTTTATCTAGAATCTCCATTTGTTTTGAGGGGATGGTTTTGTGAAAGCTTCATATCCACTAATCCATCATCCTTCTCAATATCTTCCCTCTCCCACCCACTGAACCCCATACGGCAATGCCCTCTGCAAAATCTTAACTCTCCTCCCATTAGTTACTTGTCTTCTTCCCCTCTCTCCGCTTCTCTAGATTCTCCATCACAAATGTCCAGGAACCAGGTCGGGATGGTAGAACCTTCCTTAGAGGGATCCTTTTAGTAGGCATGGGAGTGGAAACGGCTGGAAACATCCATAGACAGGTAAAGTGAAGACTATTCTCCTGCAGCTTATAACTGATCCAGTGAGTGACTCAATGGATTTTAAAGATGTAAAATTAGAGAGGTTCCTGTAAAGACAGCATTTTGTTCTGCTTTCTTCCCATATTACAGAGGTCTATCAGGGAGGATACACTGCTTGGCACAAAGTGAAGACAACATTTCATTTCAAGTTTTACTAGCAAGGTTTCGAGATGGTAGTTTTCTTTTTAAGACGGGGAGGTAGCAGAACCTTAAGGCATAAGGCAAAAGCCTCCCTGAGAACATGCTATCTGGATTTAAATTTCCATTTTTCTAGGACTCCTGGTAAGTCATATTTTGCATCCACTTTTGAATCTTTCCCCTACATTCTAACTCCTTCTACCGAGCCAGTAGCCGTCAGTGCAGTACTCTCACATAGCCTTCCCAGAATCACCGCCCCTCTGAATTTAGTATGACAGTGGCAGTACAACAGTCAGAGGTGAGATAGTCCTAGAGTTCTAGGTGGTGTCCAGCCTGAAGATAAGCGAGGGCACAGGGAAAGCTAGGAGTAGCACAAAGAAACACCTGCAACGTGGACAACCTAGGAGGGACTTAACGGTATTAATGACGACAGCAGTAGAAGGTAACATTTCTTGCATCATAACCTTTACCTGGCATTAACCTAAACGCTTTGCATAGGATATCATTTCAATCTAACACTCCTAGGATTTAGCTACTATTTCGATTTCCAGTTTACAGATCAGAAAATGGAGGCACAGAGTGTTAAAATAACTTTCTTGAGGTCACATACCTAGTGTTAGAAGAAGTGACAGAGAAATGGAAATAAGCACAAGGAAAAACCTAGAGCTGTCCTAGGGGATCTCAGCAGCAGGAGCTTGTGGACTACGTATTTATCAGGCTGCAATGAACACATTTCTGCCACCATGCTGTCAGTCTCCATGTCTCTTGATTGCCAATTTCAAATCTCAAGAGAGGGCATCTAGTAGGTCCAGCTTTGTTCTGTCCCTGATAAATTAATGAGCTATGATCAGGGAGCACAGTAATGTAATACAGATATGGTCACCCCTGTATATGAGGGGCACTGCCTAGAACAGTGGCTCTAAGTGGACAGCCACTCCAAGTGGCATCTACAGTATGACCTGATAAGGTAAGAAGCTACCACATTTGTGTGCCTATACAATTTTCTGCACCTGATACACAGCCTAAGAATAAGAACTACATTCCTTAATTAAAATACAGAGTGTGTAAGATTTATTTATTTATTTATTTTTGTTTCTCTGGAGCAATATGTATACGGAGTGAATTAGGAACCATCTATTATCTCGTCTTCCTTACTATGGAAAACTCCCTGAAGCTCAGTTTACACTGAAATGATGAACTTCCTTTTCTGACAGTTATGCCATTTTAGCTACTCGGAATGAGCCACCTGCTGAAAACAACAAAAAATGCTTGGTTAAAAAAAATTAAATACGTTGACAAACCGGTAGGAAATGAAGGAATTCGCAGAGGGGATAAAAGAAAGAAAAATGAGACTATCCTGAGAAATAAGTGAGGTCCAAGATGAGCTTTTCCTAAGAGATTATCTGTCAAATTCTGGACACCTAGAGCTCCTGCTTTGATAGCTGTGCAGCATGCCAGGGTCAGGAAATAAAGCCAAGGACACATTTAAAAGGAGGAGTTTAACAGGAAACAAAAATCTGGGACCCCAAAGGGCTACATTGCCCATGTTAAGGGTGAATGAGAAATAAACCTGCTGCACAGGTCAGTAAGGAAACATACCTGTCTTGACTTTGGAACCAAGGGAAGGTGAAAAAAAAAAAAAAAACAACTCCTGAGAATCTATAACAAGTCGTTTAGATTTGAGGCCCAAATTCAATCTATCTGTGCAATGCAATGAACCTCATGTGGAGAATTTAATCTGGTCCTAGGGTTGATGGCGCCTTCAAGCAACTGGCAGAGCAAGTTTTAATATTCTCTAGGAAAACTCAATTTTAACTCTGGCCTCAAAGAATCCCCACAGTTACAGCCTCCAGAAACATGAGTGCAGAGTCCAAAATCGCAACCCACAAGGAAACAGGCACCGTGAACAAAAGCTGGAAGAAACAACAGACAGCACCAAAGACCCACAAAATTTTCAGTATTGGATTTAACAGACACAGAATACAGACTATGTTTAATTTGTATTGGAAATTAGAAAACGCTTCGAAAAGAGAACCAAATAAAACTTCTAAAAATGAAAAATATTTGAAAATTTTGAGATGGACCATATATAAGAAAGATTAAGAGAAATGGATGATAAAGGCAGAAAGTCTTCCAAATGTCCTATAGATATTCTAAGAGATAACAGAGAAAATAGGAAACAAGTAAGCCTGAGGAGAGAATGGTTGAGAATTTTCTACAACTATTGCAGGATACTAATCCTGAGATTCGGGAACCCTTTCAAATCCTAAGCATGGCTTGACATTTTCTTTTTAAGGAAAAAAAGAGGGAAGGAAGGAAGGAAAGAATGCCTGCATACCTAGATTCATCAGTGTGAAACCACAAAAATATCAAAAACATCTTAAACGCAGCCAGAAAAAGAAAAGAGAGGGAGGGAAGAAAGACGACAGAAGGCACTACATTTTAGATGAAAGTACAGAAAATAAATTACATAATTCTTGTTAGCACTGAGGGAAGTTTCTTTTGCGATACATCAGTATGACAGGTAAGTATCCTGATTAAGAACAGCGAAAAAGTCTTTAAGTCTCGAGTACAGGAATACGTGAAGGAGGGGGAAAAAGGAAACATACAATGCATAGTGTTTCAACTGCAATCTGAAAAACATAAATAGAACATTAAATTATGAACTCAAGACAAATTTCCCCAAAAAACAAAGTTAAGACAGGTGGAAAATAACAATACCCAATCTTTACTGAGTGCAGATGTTTTCAAGAAGAAAAACTGAGCAGTGAAGGACTAAATATATCACGGGCGAACCTTTGCCCGGAGGAGTCAAAAGGTAGAAAAAGACAATGCCCAGGACCACAGACATCTAACACAGGCTATTTACCCAACGTAATCTAAAGTTACTGCTAGCACAGCCCATTAGATATTAAGACTCCATCCATTATATCATCATCATTATTATTTTTGCGGGTGCAGGTTATACGTATAGCTCAATTACATTAGAAGGACGCCAGGACGGACCGCAAAATGGAATACGTAAGAGACTAGTGACAATTTCTTGTGCATCTTTTAATATGGGAAATACATATTCACTCCGTATTCTATTATAAACTATTATAGTTACATGGAAGCCAACCAGACGTCCCATTTATATTTTTAGAAGTAGACACTAAGGATAAATTCCAGCAGAGTTCCTTCTTAAACAATCCAAATGGCCCGAACTTTGCGTTAGAACTTTGGTATCTGCCTAGCATTGTTTGAAATCCATGACTCACAAACGCCAGGGCATGGAATCAGACCAGAAAAGAACAGGTGAAAAGTTGTTCCTAGTTGTGTTACGCAGGCGCATACAACTCCCGTCACTCACCCTGCAAAAATCAACAAATAAACAGTGGCGCCGTATTTCATATTCTGTTGCGTACCGTTCGCAACGCGGCCTGGTTTTTGTAGTTTCCACGTGGAGACGGGCCAGTGTATTAATTCTGGCTGGGGAGGGAATAAAACTACATTTCCCACAAAGGCGCGGGGGCGGCCTCCGGTCGGCTTACGTCATTGCTCCAACCAACCAATGACAGCTCCGGGCGGCAGTGAGGCAAGCGCCGTCAGGCGCCAAAGTGGTTTTTTTTTTCTTTTTTTTTTTTTTTTTTTCCGCCGAAGCCGAGCGGGTGCTGCTAGCGGAGGCGCCATATTGGAAGGGACAAAACTCCGGCGACAGCGAGTGACACAAATAAACCCCTGGACCCCCTCGTTCCCCCAGCTCTAAGGGCCGCGATGTTGTACCTAGAGGACTATCTAGAAAGTGAGTGGGCGGCGCTGGCGGGGGCCGCCGGTGGGACCGGCGGGCGGGAGCGCGAGTGGACGGACAGGCGGGATGGCGGGAGGGAGGGGGAGGCGGGGGATGTTTCTTTCTCACGGTAACTGGCAGCCTCGCTGTGGGCCGCCGTCTCCCTCGACCCCCCCGACGCACGCACGCACGCAGCGACGTAGGCGCGTCCGTTCGCCGTTGGCCCCGCCCCTCTGACGGACTCTCCCTTTGACAGTGATTGAGCAGCTTCCAATGGACCTGCGGGACCGCTTCACGGAGATGCGCGAGATGGACCTGCAGGTGCAGAGTAAGTCCGCGCGTGTGCCCTTGTTCGCCGCGCGCTCCGTGCCAGCCTGCCTTGCCGTCGACGCCTGCGCCTCTGCTGTTTGACTGTCGTCCCGCTCAATGGCTAGTGCAGAAGGAGTTGTCAAAAAGAACTGGCGATGATGAGTCTTGCCTGTTCTTGCTGGCTTCCCTCGCTAGTTTTCTTTTGGCTTTTACAAGAGAAGGAAGCATTAGGGCACACGTGTTCCTTTCTCGAATTTAGGACTGTGCAATAAAAATTTCTATACCTTCATGGAGAATGTAGATGTATGTTTTAATGCACATCGGCATCAATGTTAAGAAGACTTTGACTTAAGACTTTATGTGTAGAACGTAGATTTGAGCGTTCATATTTTTGTTAAAGTTCATTCTATTCAAAATTTAAGAGCAGAAAACTCATAAAAGCACAGGTTGTGTGTAGTTCTTTAGAGACCCTGGTGAACTTGGAATGTCGGATTGGAAAAGTTACGCTTTATATAATACATTCTCAATTGTCAACAGCGTGGTATTTTCTCAATCAAAAGGAGTAAAGGAAATAAGATTTTACCGTAAAGCTTTTTGTCTGCTGCAATAAAAATTTTGGCTTTTCTTCTCTCAGTGATAGCTTTGTAGTCCAGTGACTTTTTCCCAAAAATAACCTTGCTCTTTCGTAGAGCAGTATTTAGTTTATGTGATCATTTTTTTCTGTGAGGTTTCCTTAAAGAGTTTATGATTCAGAGAAGGTAAAAATCAGTACCTTTGGAGATGAGAAGGTAAATACTTACAGCAAAACTGCACTTCAAAACAAGAAAAAGGTGCTGAGTACCAAATTTATGTCCATCGTGCTCTGAAAGAACCTCACATACCTTCTCCCTTTGTGAAATGAATATAATATGGCTCTTCCAACTTGTAGAGATACTATATTAAAAATTAAGAGTGTGAAATGAAATTTATGATACAAAATTAAAGTGTGTAATCAAGTATATATTATTGGCTGTGTTACTCCTTTTGTTTGGAGAAATATAGGTATTGCTTAATTAAATAATATTAATGGCTGACCCTCATGGGGTTTATCCACAGATGATATTTCTTGATCCCATGTATCCAAGCTATGTTTAGGCCATAGCTAAAATGTTTCTTGTGCTGACAGGTTTTCTTAGAAAAGTAGCGGTGAAGGAAGATCTGGGTTTGGATGTGTGATGGAGAGGAAAGGACTATCATGGAAAGAGATGAGAGAACCAAACATTCCAGAGTGTAGGAGTCTTGAGGTAGATAAGAACCGTCCTTCCTACCCCCTGGCCTCTCTGGTCCCCCCACCACACACACTTCCAGACCCCTTATTCGTGCTTGTGCTTTTCTCAGCCTCCTGTCCATTTCATGTGGCGCATAATACAAGGTGGTGTGTGGTGGAAGCCCCTCCTTCGCCACCCCCTTCTATTCCGTGGATTGTAGTCTGGAAGTCTGAATCATGTGTTTCTCTAGCTTGCTCACAAAATTCATTTTAACTTTAATGTAATTGACGTGCTAAAGTAGTGTTTTCTACAGGATAAGCATGAATTTTGATGTTAGATAGATATGAGTTCATTTTAGGGCTTCACTAACTTCCTATTGCCCTTTATTACGTTCCCACTTCTGAGGGATTTTTATTGTCTGTGAAATGAGAATCATTTGAGGATTAAAAATAACACATATAAATTAGAACACATAGTACTTGATACAAAATACACATTCAACAAGAGGTAGCTGTTATTTTATACTTTATCATTATAAATTTTAAAATCTCATCTAATGTGGACTTGATCATATAAATTTTAAAGTTGCATTTTTTAGCAAACATGGAATGAGGTAACTATTCTTGGCCCACTTCAGGAAAAGTTTATCTAGAATAAATAATATAATGTATTAAATGAATAAATGATTGTACCTACTACCTTCAGTCATGATACGTGATGATGGGGATGCTTAATGCCATAAAGCAAGAAGTTAAAATGTTTTTATCAATTTTTCGTATTAAAAGAAATGTGAGGATTCTCTAGTGGTACTTTCAATAGGAAATTGTTTTGGCACACTTGGCTGACTTAATACCATTAGCTTTTGACCCCAAGGCTTATGCTATTCAAAAACCATGATATAGAACCTATCTATATTGTTGACTACTTTGACCATTGGAAGGAATTTTGAAGTGACAACAACACAAATAAACTGTCAGTAGGGGAAATTGCAGCCTTTTTTGCTAAGGCAATTAGGGCCTCATATATTTACATAATTAAAGCATGACGTATTTAAGTTATTCCTCAAGTCAAAGACTATATTGTCAGATGTTTTTCCTTTTCCTAAATCAAAGCATTTATGTTCAGTGTATGAATTTGACTATCTAAATATGAAATGTTTTTATTATGTTGTAGATGCAATGGATCAACTAGAACAGAGAGTCAGTGAATTCTTTATGAATGCAAAGAAAAATAAACCAGAATGGAGAGAAGAACAAATGGCATCCATCAAAAAAGTATGTTCACCATTCTGGATCATTTATCAGTAAATACGGGGGCCCTCTGAGAAAGATAATTTTCAAATTAAATAGTTTTCTGGGTATCAACATGAGGGAAAGTTATCAATGACTCTTTAGGATTTAAATAATTCATTGCATTTTAGAGCTCCAGGTATAGGAATTTTAATCACTAAAACATTTTGGTAATTTAAAACATTGTTTCAATAATAATGACTTTTATTAGAGAGTTACAGAACCATTAAAAACGTACATTTTTTCTTTTAATTTGTTTTATTCTAGTTATAGGTAATTAAAGTTGCCTTGTCTAGAGATATACTGTCCTCTGATTTTGGCCACAAACTGGGGTGAAAATAAGCAGAGCTTGAGGCTTTTTTTAATATATATTTTTATTTAAATATATATTTTAATAACATAAATATATAAAAATATTTTTTATGTATTTTTTATATATTTTACATATTGCTAGGTACCTAAGTTGGTGTAATGACAGAAGAACAGAATCTTCAGAGTTGAAAGAAACCTTAAAAAGTCTTTTAGTTTAAAACTCCAAATTTGTACATGAAATGAGCCTAAAAATACAGAATTCTTTGAGGTTTTGTTAGTTTTATATCTGTGAGTAATAATGGCTCCCCCACTCACAGCCTTCACAGAATTGTTCAAGGATCAACTGAGAAAGAAATTTGAAAACTATCAGTTTAAGAGTAGTTGTGTTATTTATTTTACCACATGGGGGGAACATTATTTCTGTTAGGAGAAAAAAATTTCAAAATCTCTAATAAAATTGGTTCTGGCTTGGAGGATACCTGGAGGAGGCCCAGGTGTGTGAGGGTAGGCAACACATGTATACATCCCAAAGTCATTCATCAGTGCTTTAACCAATTAAGTGTTTGATGTAGTGCAGCTTGGATATACCCTGAAAAGTCTGGTACTTCTTGGAAATTCATAGAATCCTTTTTTTTAAAAAAAATAATTTGCTTTATACTGAGCAGAAATCTAAAGTCTAGGTTGAGTTGTATGAATTGATACCTAACTTAAAGTGAGAGTTATAAAACAATTGGAAAATAGGGACGTGCATGTCAGAATCCTTTCAATAGTTGTACTTCTGTAAAAAATTTTTAAAAATGGAGAGTGTGAATGTTCTTTAGAAATTAGATGAATCTTAATTGATGTCTTTTTTTTTTTAAAGAAAAGAGCTATTCATTAGCTCACGTAACTTTTACTCATATGGAGGCTAGATTTGGAATGGTGTTTATTTTTATTTATATCTTTTCTAGGAATTCTGAATGTCTTCCTTTAATTCTTGGCTGTTGTCCTTAATTTCTAATCTACCCCATCCCCACCCTATCCCTTACTGGGTTTTTATTGCTGATGTGGGATGACTGACAGTGACAACAAGGTATGATGATGAAAATGCAGTTATATGTCCTGGATACACATTTTTAAATTATTAATTTATTCTTGAAATGCAAATGTTTTTCTTCAGGATTACTATAAAGCTTTGGAAGATGCAGATGAGAAGGTGCAGTTGGCAAACCAGATATATGACTTGGTAAGTAAACTAATGTGCATGTTATGCCATAAGTACTTGACTTATGGATTATGTTTTAAATTTTGTTGGCTTAAATGTAGTAGGAATAACAGACTAAAACTGAGGTGTTGCTCTCTTTATCCCATTTAATTTGAGAGTTCTGTGTCTATTGTTTAGTTTCGTTGCGGAAGAGAGTCAGAGAGAGTCCACAGTGTTAGTTAATAGGTCAAGAACCTTACATTTTAGCCAAATCTGCATTGCTATAAGATTGTAGTTGATGTTAGGCTTTTTTTTTTTTTTTTGACAAGAATAGGTGTTTAAGTTTATTTTACTAATCCTTATCTTCTTGAGGTAGTGTCTTTGCTTGCCTAAGTCATCCTGAGATTGTTTCTGTGGTAAAATGCACATAAGAGTCCTGTGTTGACCAGAGTTCTTGGTGGTCTGATTAAAAAGAAGAGGAGACTCATTTGAATCAGTGTTAATAGATAGTACTCAACTATCTATTAAATGATATCAATAGATAGCGTGCAACAACTGGCTCCAGTGGCAAAGATGTCTGGGAAGCACTAGATTAAATAAACTTTAAAAAACGGTTCTTGTCATAGTAGCACTTCTTAAAGATTGAAATCACCAAGAAGACAGATTTACACAGTATTTCTCAAACTGGTATACTTATGGTGCTCTTTTTTATGTAAAGCATATTCTAAAATACGTACTTTAAGAAATACTCATTTTGGTTTTGTCTCAAAGCAAGTTAAAGCTGAAAACAAATGCTCACTTTTGGTTTCCTTTTGCATATAGATTTCATATCTTATTTTTATAGTCTTGTCTGGATACAATTTTATTACTGCACAAGTGCGTGCAAATATAAGTGTCATTGGCGAGCAAGACAAAGATCAAAGGTACATACCACATATGGTATGCAGTATAAGTGCTATACTAAACTAGAAAACATTTGTTATTTAATGCCATAGAAAAAGTTTAATTCTTTTTATATGGTGAAAATATTTTAATGGCTATAATAGCCTAGGCTTTTTTGTTCGTAGAGTTATTCTAAAAACAATTTCATAAAAGATATTGCCTAAAGTGTGCTATATCTTGATTTACTGTGCAATGAAAACAACCAAAAAGTTCTTAATTGTTTTGGTCTGGAGTTATGTGTATAAACGTGGAAAAAGACGTTTATATTTGAATCCAAGACTAATTTGTTTAATAACGTTCTTCTGTATATTTAATGACTGTATGTATCAATCTTTATTGAGAAACTACTTGCTTTTTAAATCATATAGCTCTTGGTTCTGATCTTTTGTTTATATTTTTTTACTTTACTGCTTTTTACACCTTTATTAAAAATACTTCATGCATTTAGAAAAAATATATCTAACGTAAATATATGCTTTTTAAGTATGTGTGCGTGGTGTGTGTATCCATCTGTTATTTATGAACCACACTGTTCATCCACTCTGTGCTTGGTATGATGGAGTTTTACCTGGGTATAATGGAGGAATAAAAACTAAATACTGTGTATGGCTTCTGTCCTCTAGGTGTCTGCAAACTAGTTGGGAGGACATGCCCACAGAGTAAAGTGAAGAGGCTATACAGAAACATGTAACAAATAAAGATTAATGCAGCTGAATATTAAGGGATATCTGGTGAAAGACCAAACTAAATCCCGCAGAGTTAATGTTGATTTCTTAGAGGGTGTGTATGCATTTGTACAGAATTTATTGAGAGGCTCAGGGGCCTGGATTAGGTGTTGTATTGAGGGAAAAACATTTCACTCAGAGATAATGGATAAACATAGAATGAAAATAAAAATTAGTAAATTCTTTGAGGAAGATAGATTACTTAGGCTGGAGAGTAAAGTAGTAAAAGGTGATGTAATAAATTTAATAAAATGTAATAAATGTAATGAAAAGCAGGTGTCCATAATGGATCCATACAGATGTGAGTTCAGCCACTTCACGAACAGCAGAACTTTGGAAAAGTTATTTAATCCCACAACCTGTTTTCTTATCTGTAAAAAAAAGTATTAATTTGTGCCTTAAGGGGAATTTGAATCTCTCTCTCTATTTATAGCCACACACACACACCTATATAGAAAGAGATAGATGTATATGTGTAGATCTGCCTATGTATGCACACAGTGCTCTTAGCTTGGCAGGTAGTAGGCCCTCACTCCTTTAAAGACTCACTCCATCTTATTTCTCTAACTGGAATTTTCTACTTTCCTGAAGCCATTGCTTCCCTTTCAGCTCTACCAAGTTAAACCTGTTTTTTCCCATTCCCTCTGTTTCTAGGACTGCCTTTTGTTTTTTCTTTACTCTTTTCCTCTCTTTTCCCTTCCCTTCCCTCCTTTCTCTTCCCCTCTCCTTCTCTTTGTTGTGTTTTTCTTCTCCCCTCCTCCTCCGCTTCCTTCCCTTTTTAATACTCCACTGCTATTTCAGGTGACCATAATATTCTTAATATAAAAATCTATCTTCTTTGGGACTTAATGTTAATCACCTGTATTATCCTTTCACCTTTGTGGACGTTCTCAATCTCCTTTTTGGATGTTGCTCATAATGGCTACTGTTCCTCAGGCTTCTGTCCTTGACCCACATTGTTTCTTACCCTATTCAAGTGGGTCTCACATAGAGGTAACTCTCTTCCCATTTTCTACCCCAGCTCCAGAGGCAGTAAGACCAAATACCACATGGTGAAAAACTGTTCTATCAAATGCCAGTTTTACCTCCCTCATCCCCACACACACCACCCAAGTTGAAAAACATTCCTCCAGTATTTTTCTGTGTGTATTTTTAGCTTTAATGATTATATAATAATTATTCCTCAAGCTCAGACTTCTCTGAGTCTATTTGTCTTATCAGAGAATTCCTAGGCCCTGGAACTCAGTGTATTAAAACTTAACTCTTAGCCTCTCCCTTTACTTCTTTCACTAACATCACTTATCATGAATAAATAATTATTCAAATGTTAAAGACAATTATGCACCCTCCTTGTGCTTGGTTGGTGTGTGGCACCATATTGCCAGAGCAGCTTGTGGTGTCAAACACTTTATACAAGTAATTGCAATCGAACATAAGGGAATTATTGACTTGTTCAGTAGGGAGGTCACTAAATGGATTTACTGTCTCAAATTAGTTATGCTCCCTGAAATATCAACAGTAAACATCTGACTGAAAGTCTTTATAAATATTAAACAACAATTAATTTCCTGTAACATTTAACATTAGAATTAACATTAGAATGCTGCATGCTTCAGAGGTGAGTGGATGGGACATAGTATAAGTATAAAACTACAGTAATTTTTATTCATAGGTCATTTGCCCGATCTTCTGTTTATATAATTCTACATATTGGGAGAGTATAACTTTGATCCATTCAGTAAATATTTATAGATCAACTCTGAGCAGTCACTGGTGCTGGATGGCCAGTAATGACACGGACAGGTAATGAATACAGGCAAACTATTAAAGATTATTTTAGATTTTGATAAGTGCTATGAAGGAAATAAACGTTGCAGAGAGAAGGGAAAAGAACGAATAACTAGGGGAGGCTGTTAAGAGTATAGTCAGGATGAGTGTAGTCTAAGAGATGACATTTGAGGGGGTACTTGGAAAATGAGAAAGAGCCAGCCAGGTAAAGAGCTTAAGGAGGAACATTTCAGACAGATGATGTACCAACTGCAAAATCTAAGGTGGAAAAGGGCTTCACAGGTTGAACCAGAAAAGAAGCCATTGTGGTTGATGCGTTGTGAGAGGAGGAGAGTGGTGTGGGAGGAGGCAGACAGCAGCAGGCACGCACATACAGGGCCTTATAAGCCAATGGAGTAGTGTGAGCTTGATCCTAAAAGTAGTGGGAGGCCAGTGAAGGATTTTAAGCAGGGCAGTGAAATACACCTTAGAGGAAGTTGTATGTGTGCCTTTGCTTAAACATATTACTATGCTAATTTCAAGTGAGTGTGTATTATTTTTACAGATTGTAATATACAATAATTTTGTATATAATTGTGTTTGATTTCTCCCCTCAGTGTTTTATACCTCATGGTATTTCGTTGTATTATTTTTCATTAAAATATTTTGAAGTCAGTAGTAAACTTTCTATTCCTATGACCAGCACTGTACCTCACTGTACCAGATTGCCTAAATATCCACAAGGGCAGAAATCTGTAGAATTAGTTCAATAGAATAAACTGACGATTTATTTCAGTAGCTGTTTTAGTGAAATTTGACTGAAAGAAAAAATTTATCCTATTAAAATAATTTCCTCTAGAATCCTGATACTCATAGTCATTAAACATTTATTTGTGTTCCTCAGCCAGATGTCACTGTCATAAGGCCATATTAGATTACAATACCTAATAAAGTTGATTTATGTATACTCTGATAAAAGTTGTGCTTTTAGTTAATGCTTGAATGATTTTAGCAGTCTCTTACAGTGCTCAATCCCCTTGAACTTCCTTCTTTTTTATATCCTAGCCTATTCCTGAGATGATTATATTTCAGGCCCGCATTTTAGCTATAAATTTGAGAATTCTTTATCTGATACTCTAATTAAGGAAATATATTATGTGAGTTTGACCTTTTGATTTGTCTCCTATCCTTATTGTCTTTTGGAAAGATGATTAGATGTAGTTTATGTGCTCAGGCCTCAAGTATCTGACTCAGCCTAAAGATGGATCAAATTTTCATCTAGTTTAAATATAATTCAGAGATGTGAAGAATCATTTTCATGACTTGTCATCAGAGAAATAATTTGCCATCCTGGTTCTTTTTTCTTCCTCCAGTTTATTCTCCTTATTCACTATTACCAGATCTTTTCACAGATAGAAATTTATCTCTTATTGCTGTGAATTTCAACTTAGAACCTGATAGACTGAGTGCTCATTCTGAAAGGGCAAGCTAGACATCTAAATTTTAGAATTTGACAGGCTTGGAAGCCATAAAATCATGTAGGAACTTTTAAAAAGCTATATTTAGTTCAGTTTGGGTCTATTAGTGGCACATTTTAAAATTTGAATATGGGAAAACTAGGAGAGTCAAAAGGGAAAGAATAAAGGATTACAACTATGCAAAAATGTGAAAGGATGAGGATTTTTTGTTTGTTTCATGCAGAGGGGTCAGGTATGACTTAATTTTTTTTTTTTTCCCCGAGGAAGATTAGCCCTGAGCTAACATCTGCCAGTCCTCCTCTTTTTTCTGAGGAAGACTGGCCCTGAGCTAACATCCGTGCCCCTCTTCCTCTGCTTTATATGTGGGACGCCTGCCACAGTGTGGCTTGCCATGCGGTGCCATGTCCGCACCCAGGATCTGAACCAGTGAACTCCCAGACGCCAAACGTGTGCACTTAACTGCTGTGCCACCAGGCCGGCCCCTTAAATATTTTTATGATCATGAATTTGTTAACAAATAATGTTTACAGAATTTCTTTTGTGTCTAAGGAGGTCAGAAAAAAGATAATAGATTTAAACTTAAAGCAATTATGATTTGGGGTTGTGGGATAATAAAAAAACTTGTGGCTGGCATTTACTGACATTAATTGGGGAACAAATCAATTAGACTCTGTGGTCAGCCTTGTCTTAGGAATTGATGGTTAATGGAAAATCTCAATTGGATCAGTACCCTCTTTACTACTATAAATCACTTGTAATGAGTAGGTTGTTTGTGGAGGGGTGGGGTAATTTAGGTTTTTGCTTTGCGTGATACCTGTGGGGCCATTGTGGTGATCAGCTAGAATAAGTGCTTTACCTATTCAAAATCAAGTGGGTAGAGGAAATGCACTCGATAGGTTTCGGTCAAGGTCAATTCAGTTCTTGCTATGGCTGTTTAATACTGTTTAAGTATCCTGTCGCTTCATAGCTTAAGTTAAATCTTGTGGTCAACTTACTTTCCAGCTTCTAATTTGACTTAGTAAAGCAGTAGTGAATCTAAGAAAAACAATTCTCATTGCCTAATAATTGCTTACAATATTGATCAGTTCATAATCCTTTTTACATACCAGAAAGTGGAAATGATTGGAAGTTCTGTTACAAAGCTTCCCACCACAATGTGATTAAGACTTTTCTGTCTTTGTGTATTTTAATTATGTGTTTGGGTTTTAGAGTTATTAATTCTTTGGGACCCATTGCTTTTTCCGAGCTATCTAGCATTGGAAACTCCATCATTATTTTCTGTGCTCTCATGTGTGATAAACCTTATCAATACTATCTTTACTGCAGTGAAGCAATTCTGAAATGCAGGGGTGGAGTGAATTAGGGGAAGGTGTCTGGTGTCTTCATCTCACCCCAACCCCCCCCAACAGAGATTCTAACACTCTTCCTGTCTATATTATATGTACCTAAAACAGGCCTCACCATACTTTGCTTTCTTTTTCTCTGAAAATGCTGTTTGTCTTCCTGATTCTATGTTTTTAAATTATTACTCCTTCTTTCCGTCTATTTGAAGACAATCCATTCTTCACCCTTTAACTCAATCATGCCTCCTTTGTGTCTGCCACAGCCCAGTGTTATACTTTTTCTTTCTGTGCCACTTCTGACCCTTTTCAGCTGTTGCTCATGTGTTACATCTAGGGTATATATTGTTTTAAAGCTTCGTTATGTTAAACATCTTATATAAATCTTGATTTTTCAGTTAAATTCTAATTCCTATGAAGGTGAGGATTCTCTCTCATTCTTTGTGTATCTTCCATTTAACCCAGCCCCAAGCACATAATAGGAACTCAATATTTATTAGTAATATAATTGTAGACAAGAAAGGTGATGTGGAGGATTTTCATTGCATTAAATTGTCTTGGAAGTTAAAAAGGAGTATTTTTTCTGATTTCCCTTGAGATTAAATTTTGACAATGTAAGAGATTCTTGAATAACTGAGGTCTGTGTTCACACTTTATTATTGGAAGGGAGGTTCCATTAAAGGATGCTCAATTACCTGCAGGTTCTTTGAATAGGAGCCAGTGTCCACAATGTGTAACCTTATAGGATTTTAAATTTGTAATTACACCTTCTGCCAAGCTTTGACAAATAACTTGTGTGTGAAGATGGAGGGAAAATTGGGCTTTAACTTATTGAAAAATCACAAACAAACACCCCAGTGGTTGCTGTTAATATACAAAATACAAATCATAAGACAATATTCCTTTTTTTTTAATTTAAATTATATTTCTCTGAGTTAAAAACAATTACAGAAGTTCATAGGGCAATGTTAGGTACAAATGATAAGCACAATTTATTACAAATATATCAGTGTTAAATCTCATTTCTGTAATTTCACTTATGAAATAGAGACAGTAATAACCTGTCTCAAAAGATCAGAGTGAGGGCTAGAAAAGATAGACGATCTAAGGCACCAAGTACATTACCTGGCATCTAACACACACAAATTGGCTTTGGCTACTTTTCTCCCCTTCTCCTTTATTTTAGATACACATTATTTAATTGAAAGTCTTATTTAATTTTTTTACCCTCATGCTGTATGGTAAACATTTTGATATTTGTAAGAAAGTTACTCTTAATTATAACAGTGATCCACTGGGAAACCAGAGTTTGAAAAGAGCTGCTGTGGATAATATAACATGAATATTTTTCAAAGATTTCGTGTTTTTTGGTTTTACTTCAAAGTAGCAAATTAGAAAAAGTATTGAACAAATCTTTAATATTAACCTTAGAAAATACATTAAGACTCATTGCTAGTTTGAGGTGTCCTGTAATTTTCTGAAAGCAGTCAAAAGATGTCTAGGTGAATGACAAAAAAATTTTTTGCCATCTTTACAAGGGCAGTAGTGTTACGATAAAACATTTTAACTAGGCTCTTTAGGGAATGGAGTTTTCTGGCTAAAAACCCCTTTTGTTTCAACTGTTTACATAAATGTTTACAAGTATAATGGTCCACTTTCCTGCCTTAGAGAAATGTATGTATAGACTATAGTAGCCTCTTTGTTTGTGGACTGAAGATCTTTCACTCCTCATTCTAAATAACACTTATTACGGTATGGCAGTGTGGCTGGCCTTGTTATAAGTAGGAGGAGATTAGGCTGAAAGTAATCCCGCACTATGAAAAGTTCCCAGCCCTGCTGCACCCCCTCCCCACCTCAAATCCCTCACGTCAGTTTTGCTTTAGTTTTCATATCTCACTTCTTCCGGACATCTCCTAACAAATTGTGATTCTGGTTTCTTAAAACTTAAAATTTGTTAAAGGTGACTTGGGAGATTATTTAACCTAGCACCCTCATTTGATAGATTAAAAACCTGAGGTGTAGGTTAATTGACTTGCTCGAGGATACAAAGAAGTTTCACTAAAAGAAACAAAGATTTAGGTTTCCTCGTTAAACTGACACTTTAATAGTGTCCCAAATTTTGGTGGTTATCTTTGATCTTCTTTGAAACAGGTAGATCGACACTTGAGAAAGCTGGATCAGGAACTGGCTAAGTTTAAAATGGAGCTGGAAGCTGATAATGCTGGAATTACAGAAATATTAGAGAGGCGTAAGTAAAATTTACAGTTTTCCATCAATGTTGGACAGTACATATGCAAACACTGAGGAGACACTTGTCCCACGGAGAATTCTCAGATGCTGTACTAGGTGGATGGTGGTGACTGGGTTGGATAGCTTGGACCCCAGCAATTGGAACTAAGAGAGATAATGCAAGACATTCCACTTACTCTTTATGAAAATAGCATATTAAGTCATTCCATTATTAAATATGCCTATGTGCTAGTAAGGTTAATGATAAGAACAAAGATTTAAAGAAATACAACTATCTAGAAACAAGCTAACCATCTGTCATTAAAGATATTGACTTTGCCCTGTCTATTTACACACTGAAGCTTTGTGGAAGGTTATTTATTCTTCTTAAGAGCTGCCTCAAGGCTTTTCCTCAACTGTATTCCTAAGAAAGATTTTCATTGGTTCCACAGCTCATCCTCTCTTTCTCAAAGAAGTGTTTCTTAAGCTTTCCCTTATCAGCAAGGAGCCATTCTAATATTTCTTTGCAAGCCTTGATTTGATATCCTGCTATAATTTATCCTTATCACTTCGTGGATTTAACTCAGGAGACTTCCCAAAATGGAGACATGAGCTCTGTTTCTTTAACCCATTTAGCATCTCTTCCAACCTAAATAGGTTATGTCCATAAAAGTAGATAGTGTCGTGCTAAGCCCAGAGTAGGCACTCACTCAACGATAGTTGAACCAAATCAGTATTATGGCTGATTTCTCCTCAAATTTAATTAAAGGTTCCAACATGTTTTTTTTCGCTTGGTGCATTTAAACAGCAAGAACATGTACCTATTTCTACACACAGAGGAAGGGTTTCTATAGAGTGTGTTAGGTTATGTATCTCTGTTTATGTACTCACTAGAAGTCAACTAGAGAAGCAACCGGGGACAAATC